ACAGACCTCCAATGGAGCGTCTCTATTTTCTGAGAATCCTCAGTAAAATGGACCTGAAGAGGGAGCTGCTGATCGTCTTCTACCAGTGCTCCATTGAAAGTGTGCTGACTGCATTTGTGTGTGGTTCTCCAGCTGCACCATGGCACACAAAAAGGCCCTTCAGAGGGTCATTAATGTGGCCCAAAAAGTCATTGGACATCCTCTTCCCTCCCTGAAGGACCTGTACAGCACTCGCTGTCTCAAGAGGGCATGCAGCATCCTACAAGACTGCACACACCCAGTCTTGTAGGTGTTGAAGCCATCCATTCGCTTCCGCTTATCCGTTTCAGGGTCGCGGGGGGTGCTGGAGCCTATCCCAGCTGTCATAGGGCGAGAGGCTGGGTACACCCTGGACAGGTTGCCAGTCGCAATAATTACAATAACAATAATAATAATAATAATGTACAATAAACATACACTCATTCCTTTGCTCATACCTTTCTTGCACTTAAAAAAAATCCCCTTTAAGTTACTGTGTTGTGTTTTGTTGTGTTTGGTTGTGCGCAGTGCAGACGTGGAACAGTTTCCAATTTTGTTGTACTGTTGTACTAGGTATGACTGTGCAAGGACAATAAAGAGTTATGTCATCTTGTCTTTTGTAGTTCATTCCATATATCCATTGGTCTTTAACCAGTGACTTGAGTACATCTACGAGTTTTGGCTTATTTCAGCTGTTCAACATATAAAATGCAGTAACTGGCAAATAGTGGATGTTTCTCCGTGGTAACCTTGAAATCACAGCACCCCCCACCCCTCCTCTCCACATTTAAAATCCCAGTTTACGGTGACCAACAGGAGGCAACAGGTGTCTCAGATTTTCTAAATAAGATTGCTGAGTTTCATACGGGAAATCTTTCTGTTGACTACAGTCTCTCTTTTTTTCCAAAATAAAAGCCCTGGAATAATTATAGGAATTGAACAGAATTATTATAACTATTATAATTAACTATTATAATTATTATAACTATTATAACTATTATAACTCTTTCTTTTTCTCTGTAGTAGTTCCCAATTAGTTAATGGATATCATATATGCCATATTTTCAAAAATAAAGCATATAGTATTTACTTATTTTCAGTGCTTTCTTGTCCTAGGTCTGCTGTGGGGTTGTTTTTTTTTTTTCAAACATTCAACCTTTAATAACAAGCAACATTCAGGTCCAGCCTCAAAAAGTTGATTCTGTGCATCTGGCGGTAACTTTTTCAGTAGGAGAGACAGTAAAAACATACAAGAGACAATGTCTGGCTGTAGCAACAATTCCACCACAATTTCTACAAAAATTAGTTAACAGTTAATAAACTACCCAAGGTGATCTTTGGTGGAATAAAGATCCTGAGTGGCATCAGTAAACTCCTGTTTATTTCCCGCCTATAGATCACATTCATCCAGTTCAGTTTAAATCCACATTTTTCTTTCCTGGTACCAGTTTGAGTTTGAGTACCACTCCTCAAGAAGACGACTGCATGTCCGAACACTCAACGCATAGCCTAGAAAAGTTTGCTCAAATTTTATCTTTAATCGAAATTCATCTAAATTATGTTAATCCCAAAAATAGATACTGGATATGATCGGCAATATATACTACAAGTATATTATCCCAATCCCCTCTTTGTGAAAGTACAGCAAGTACTCACATCTCCATCTACAGCACATCTCCATAATCAGAACAGTGAGACAATTTTTTGAACTCACAGTTGCTGCAAATGTAAATGTTATTTGCATGTCCCAGAAACTTAATCACGTATTATTGTCAGTAATGTTGCTGTGGTTGTGGACTTTTCAAGCACAGGGAAACTGTGGTGGTGGCAGTCAGGCTGTGTGAGGTCATTTTAAGCAACTAGCGCACCCTGGTGCCTCTGATAGCCTTTTTCAATGTCAGCAATTTTCTGAGTGACCCTCAGTGTAAGAAAATGATCTTAGATCTTGTAACTACTGTATGCGTTTACATAGACTCTGCCTGAAAGACTCTTTCATTCCTGAATGGAAACATCAATGTAAGGCTGGTTTCAGTTTCACTCAGTGTAAGGAGACCCCATCTCTTCTTTCAGCTGCTATCAGCCTCCTATTTTGCTGTATGATGAATTAGGGGTATTTGTGGTAAACTGTACTGAGCTACCTTCTTATGTTACAGTTAGAGGACATGTGGTGGAAGCAGTGAGAAAGGCTTTGATTTTAAACACGAGCAGTCACAGAAACCCAGGGAGAGCATTGCTCCAAGCCTCTGGAGAAAACTGCAGCAGTAATTTACTCATCAAACTGGACACCCTGAAATACCCAAGGTGTTAAACAATTGAAAGTTGACATTGAGATTTTGCCCCTCTCTGCTTTTGAAGTTCAGGTTTCTTGGTTTGTCAGCTTGTTTGTCAGAATATCACCTGAAGCTGAGCACATTTTAAAAGTTCTTCTAACCTTTTCTGAAGAAACAAAAACAACACATTTCAACAAATCCAACAAGTATGACATAAAACAAGGGAAGCAGCAAATCTCCGTGGCGTGATGATCACTGACACATCTTGTGTGTAAAACAAGATATATCACTTATTTTGCTTTGTCTTGTTTACTACACCTTTATTACATCTTTTAATGCCCCACTGTACACATGCTGCACAATGATGGAGTAAAAATCTATGAATATTAACTTTTGCACTGCAGGTAGTCACTAAGGTCTGTGAATGAATTAAACTTCCACACGGGACAGAATAATTCACGCTCATTATTCAAACATCTGACATAAGTGGGTCCCTTTATGATAAAATAAATTAATGATTCATTGTGGCTTAAGCTGCGATTTTATTGCGTTACATAAAACTATTTGAATTCTTTTCTCTATTGATTAGCAGACTTATTTTACTGGATCTGGAAGATTTTATACCAGACATGCCTAATAAATAAGTCAGAATGAGTTAACTCCTAATCTGTTAGCTCAAAGCTCAAACATGTTGGCATATTGACTTTTTGAAAGTATACATTCATTTCTGTTGTGCAAATCTGGACCAGAGGAAACTGCGCAGGAGCGCACGTGAGGTGTTCCTTCTGTTGAAGAAAGCCCTTTAAAAACTTAAAAAATCTGTCACAGATCAGCGCCCCACTGTGGCTCACTGACACACGACTTTCCTCTGGACTGTGGGTGTTTTGCTGCCGTTTTATTAATTGTGTTACTTTTCATTTTGCTATATTTTCCTGGTTTCTTTTACTCACGAAAACCATCGAACTAAAAAAAAAACTATCAGGTTCTGAACAAATGTTAGTACCACATAAGTCTAAGTAACTAATCGAATAACTTCTCAGGAGCTTTTAGCACTTGTTTAATATTTTAAGGGTGGTTTTAAAACTGGTGGACACACTTCAAAATGAATTAGCTCTTAACTTGCAAACACAGTCCTCTATTCATCCAGGTAAAGGTCTCACTGAGGATAAAAATACCTTTGTCAGGGTCCTGACCAGGAAGGCAGAGTTATCTTTGTTTTAACTCGCGGCACACAGCACCCTGATATGGCAAGCCCCGAAGACCATCGAGTTCTCTGTATTTGTGCTTTGCAATTGAACGTGTTCGTCTGTTAGAACCCCACTTGTTCTATAATATTAAAGGGCCCTCTAAATACTCTCAAAAGCACCCTTCCCCGCAAGTGCCCTCTAGGCTATATATCTCGCGCAGTGGACAGGCCGTGTCTGTCCGTGTTCCTGTGTCTGTGGAAGCACGTCTCAGCCTTCAGTCAAGCATTGCAGGCTGGCGCCGCTGCCTCTCCACTTCCACAACATCAGGTGTAATGTTACTGTTTGTTGTGGCCTGAGAACACTAATAACATGGCTTGAAAACAATGTTGACGGTAAAGCTGGTCAACATCACCCGACATCACTCAACCCCCGAGGACCTGCACGCTGATTAAGCGGCTCAGCTCACAAAGAACGAGGACTGGCGAGACTCTGAATAAGTGCC